TGACAGCAATGACTCTCACCCATCACTTTGCAAACCAGTGGAATGAGTCATGCAATATAAGGGTGGAACGAGCAATCAATTTCAATCTGTTTGTAATACCCAAACTTTTTCAAGTGTATATGTATGCTTGGAACAAAGAGTAAGTCTCCTTTTGCACTTAATTTACTAAATATTATTTATTCGTGTTTTTCTTAAAAAATAAAAAGTCTTTTACATAAATTATCCCCAAAACTCTTCTAAAAATCGTGTCAGGGAGCTTGGTGGTCTAGACAGCTTCTTATGAAATGAATTACTATTAGAGTCAAGCACAACCATTCTATGATTGTTCACCAGAGAGAGTCAAAGGAATTCCATGTTCAGCCCTTTTGATTTCTGATGCTGGATAGAAACTACAGGAGAAATGTCCTGTTTTCTCAACTTCCTGCAATCCCTGTTGGAAAATGATGGACCCTTGAGGGTAAATAAGAGGAGGGATGATAAGGGTACACAAAATTACACATGGAGTAAAGAAAACGGAACGTTTCCCTCCTTCCTCATAATGCTAGCATCTGGAACATTTAATTAACCTGAATGGCAGATCACACAAAACTAGCACCATCACTGAACACATAATTCAACTTGGAATTTATTTAATTAACTTGTAATAATGGCCACCAGCTTGGATGTCCTTAACAGCAGACTAGACAAATTTACAAGTAACAAGCCTATACACTAATTGAGGGTTATATGCTCGGATTGAGGAGCCCTGGGGGGTTATATGCTCGGATTGAGGAGCTCCCCTACATGTCCCTCCAATCACTGTTAATTTTTTCTACCTCCCCTCTCCATAGAAGGAAAGAGAGACATGGGCATCGGGTAACTGTGCTTGGGGCCCCTGAGCCTTTGGCCAGTGTTGAAGTTCTGGAAACAGCTATATGGTCTTTCTAAGAACGTAAGCAGCAAATCTCTGAATAACAGCTTCTGGGAGAAAAGGTGATTGCTCTCACTCTTGGGTGATTCCTATCTAATTGGCTGCTTCGGGAAATGGGGCATAACCCATTTGTTGGAAAAACCATTCATTCAGATAGCATAAAATACAGCCCCTTAGTTCCAAACTTATTTAGCTTCCATAAAGTTTTTGCATCACTCACTTTCCTACCATGTTTTTTGCATTATCCTGACATGATCGGAAGAGATGAACTGAGATTTAAGAGAGGGCTTCCTAAATGGTAGCTAGGCAGTATTTGTAACCAGATTTATTTTATTATCCCATTGCTGTAATTATAGCTCAGTTGTTCAGAGCTATCCAGATGTCACACCTGTTGATCTGGTAATCTTTCTTCCATAATCTCTTATGCGTGGAGACTTACTTTGTTGGTGGAAGTATCATACGAAGCCCACATTTAGCTATTATTTTCTGAATCCCAGGCTTTTAAACAAAAAGTAGCACCATGCATTCATTTTCAGTGACAACAGACATCTTCATATGAATTTCAGCACTTATGAAAGTATCCTCTACAATCAAGTCAACTACTAGGATTCCCAAAGGATATTTTGTTCTGAGAAACAGATGTGAAAGAATGGACCAAGATGCTGCTATCCCAAAAGCAGGTTGCTGACAAGTTCATTAGCAACAAAACAATCCCTCTCTCCTATGGATTGGCAACTTGAGGGTGAAAAGAATATTACTTATTATCCAGGAACGCTGACTATCTTTGCTTGGGTAGACCTGTATCTGGAGAGAACACATCACATTGTTGGGTTTCTATGCAGCTAGAGGTCTTTTCTCCTGTATTTAATTATAGATACTACTCTCTAATTTAGCATTCCTATTCTTGTGTCTTGGAGATGTATTGACTGCACCTCCCAGAAATCCTATTAGCATGCTGACTGGGAATTCTGGAAGTTGTAATCCTAACACATTTGCAGGATGCTGGATTCAGAAGGCTGCTCCATTGCAGGCATGGCAGCAAATTAACTTATCTTGTACTCATCACATTTTCACTTTTGCCTAGAAAAATAGGCTTCTGAATGGTGGAGAGGGCAAAGTGCTTTGTTTTTATTTTATGGTATCCACAAAATGTAAATTGTTGGACCATATATAAAGAACAGCATCTCCACAAAGCTATGGTCAGTCTGTTTCTCTTATATGCTGTCAGTGGTAGTGCTGTGGCATTCATGTCAAAAAGAGGGAAGCTGAAAACTTTTTATTCTCTGTGTAAAATGCTATAATGGGGACCTGAGGGGAAGTGAAGGGGAATATTGCATGTAACAATTAGCAAATCTGGCTTGTGACTACTGATTATCCCAATCATTGTGTCTTGAGAAAGATGGAATGATCTTGGGATAGAAATATAGATAGATTTAACCATCCATTACACCTGATTGTTTCTGAGCAATTGTGTCACAATTACAAGAATTGTATTAACTTGCTAACTGGCTCAACAACTTATTTATTTTACAGAAAAAACTGTGTTACTCTCTTCCTCTTCAAACTTCTGACAATTGGTTTTACCACATTCAGAAAAAGATAATTTACAATCAACCCTTTCCTCTACACAAAACCCCCTCTGCCTGTCTGCCTGAAAGTTGAGGGTCTCTTAACTACAAATTTCAAGGTGTTCTGTCTGAAATAAAGAAAATAGCTCTAGGGATTTTTAAAAAAATAAGAAACAGTTTTAGGCTTTTACTTATTTGGGTAAAAGCCTAAAAAAAGTTAAAGATGCTTTTAAAAAATCAGATTTTAAACTGCTCTGATTTCGTAAAATTTAACACACTTCATCTACTCGTAATAAGTCTGCCTTTTCTTCAAATGTCAGCTCATCCTGGTGAAAAGCAAAACTGTTAAAACCATTTGCATTTTTCTCTTGCTAAACAATAAGAGGACAAAGTCCATTTTTAAGAAACATATTCCAGAAACATGAAAAAGTTAGATCAAACTACATAGCAATTTGGAGCATAATTCTTGGAACCCTGGATAATAGTTTTTGAAAGAAATCAGGAGATTCCTACAAATTCTCACTATATATAGAAAACAAGTTGAAAGTTGCATTCCTAATTGTTGCAGTCTAATTTATGCTATTATACTATTATACCAAATACACAAACCCACAACTAGTGATGCCTTTTCCATTTTATACTACTACTCCGGGTTTTACAAGAACAATACACTAATAGTGCATTATGGATATGAAAAGGAACATCGCCACATTTATTTACGGTTCTACAAGAGTTACTAAGATGATAAAGGAGAATAATCTGCTTTAAGCAATTTATGAACACACATTTCTAAACATCTACAAGTAAAAAAATGCTCATTCAACTCTCTGCTCTTTACTAATGATCCCCATATATTAGATCTCCTGTTTCCCAAATTAGTCAATGTTTTCAATCCAGGCATGATTCCTCCCTCAAGGTATCTTTGTTATTCAAAATAATGTTCAAGCAAAATGGCACATATAAATGTTTAAACTCTTTAGTAATTTTAATAGGGCAAGTACCACATTCTAACTGGCCCTAAAGAGGTAATACCCACAACTATGAATCTACTACACAAAATGCCACACAAAAAAGAACAGGAACTAACTGGAGGCACAACTCCAGCTCCAGATAGAGAACTATGGATCTCACTCTGTTCTGCCACCATCTTCCACACTAAAGAGCAGATAATTCATCTCAGGATACTTAAAATACACCAAGCTGCTTTTTGGTGGCAGGCACATGATTACTATAAAGCTTTGGAGGAAACTAATCTAATAGGATAAGGGTATATTAGTATTTGAATTTTTAAAAATTGAACCTATGGAGTACGTACAAGGTTCAGTTGTGGTTTTCATGGGGGAGTTTATTTTCTGTGCCTTCAGTGTGGCTTGCTGGGAATTCATCTTGTCACATCTAAACTGAAGTGCTCAGAAT